AAAGAAGAATGGTTCTGGAGAACCCAGCAAGAAGGCAGCCATCCACATGCTAGGAAGAGCCCTCCCTGGAAACTGGATGGGCAGCACCTTATACTCCAACTTCCATCCTCCACAGTTGTGAAAAAAACATCTGTGGGTTTTTGCTATGACAGCCTGTACAGATTAACCTAGAAGATCTGAACTAAGCTATTCTTAGATATTAGCTTCTTTTATCCTTATAACTTTATCCTTAAAGTAAATATTTTTATTTCCATTTTATAGAGACAAAAGGGAAGCCTGAGGAAATCACATACCCATGGACACACAGCTAGCAAAAAGAAGACTGCAAATTTTAACTTCTGTAACTTATTCTGAGCCCCAGCATTTGGGCAGCATCATGCCTCCTGATCCCCAAATCTTACCTGAAAGGGAGAGGACAATAGGCTCAGGGGAGGAAACGATGAGGGGTGCTGTCCCCAGAGGCCTAGTTGACACTACTGGTCACACACTGCCTACACACACACACACACACACACACACACTCCTAACTCCTCTTCCCCTACCTTGCTGCCTCACTCTGTCCCAAACAGCAAGCTGCCATCCTTCCTGCCAGCCTGGACTCCTGGCCATGCCATAGATAGTGATTGGGACACCCTTTGGGACAGTCAAAAAGCCCTAAACCTAAGATCAGTTTTGCCAGGCTAGACTTTGTCTCCCTTCACGCAAGGGGAGGGAGAGCCAGACGGACGGTGGAGAAGAGACGGCCCTTCACTTCGGGGCCTTGTCCCAGCTAGTGGGAATGTCTTGGAGCTGCCTGGGGCTATGCTGGGCTGCGGGGAGAAGGCTTGTCTTATGGGCTCCGGAGCAGGCCCCACCTGTTTGGGGACGTGAGGGAAGCACAGCGTCCTCACTGCCAGCTTCGGCGCAGCTCGAAGGCGTCTCTTCATCTTGCGAAGTCCCAGAGGTAGGCTGCAAGGTTGCTGGCCACAGATACAGGACTTCATGCAAAGACAAAGAAAGGCTCGCAGGAAAGCGGCTGCAGCGAGGGGCGGGGCCGAGGAGTGGAGAAGACACACTGCGACAAGACTGTGCCCGGGACCCCTCATCCGCCACCTCGCCCCAGGGCAGCCCCAGCCAACCCACGGAAGAGCAGCAGTGACTTCACCCCCTTCCTTGTCCTCTCCACAGAGTAGCTGAAGGTGTCTGTCCCTTCTATCTATAACACGTGCTCACCACGGGGTTTCCTCAGCCAGCACCTGCACACCCTGTTCACTGCCCCTCCCCAGACCACAGAGGGGCCCGCAGCACTAACCTAGGAGCCACGAGCCGACTCCCACACCGGCCAGCATCGCCAGGGCTCCCAGCGCCACACAGCCACGTCGAAAGGAGCAGCAGCGCCCTGCCTGAGACACTGTACGGGGGCGAGGCCGTCTGGGCTCCCAGCTCCTGCCAGCCTGGCTACCTCGCTCGCCCTGAAGCCCCCACGTGGCACACGCTAGAGCCCTGCCCTCCCCACTCAGCAGAAATGAGTGAGGCAGGGCCCTGCTCCCTGCCGCCCACAGAGCCCATTCAGTCCCCAACATAAGGACGCAACGAAGCAAGTGACAGCACAGTAAGACACCCACTCACCATTAATCGTGTGGAACCAACCCAATGGGAATAGAGGGGACACAGGCGGGGGGCCGTTCCCTGCTCCCCCCCTTACCACTCCCTCGGCCTACCAGGTTGCAGCTGGTCTCCTGGCTCTGCTCTGAAGACCCTAGGTCCTGGGCCCTCCTCTGCATCCTGAGCCTGCGGCGAGGCTTGGTCACCCAGCTTCAAGCTCTGAGAAAACAGTGGTCAGGTCCCTGGGATTTGCACAACAAGTGCTGCCATAAGGTCCAGCACCCCCCCCACCCCCAGCTCCCACTCCGACCTCAGTCACGCCCTGCTGGCACCTGCAAGCCTTTGCTCATCCCGGGGCCTCCCTACAGGCTCCCACAGATGTCCCACCAGGCCCCCTCTGTTCTGCAGCCGCTAGCTCCCTCTGTCTTCCCCTCACATGGCTCTAGGCTTCAGAGCAGAGACCTGAGTCTGGACTGGGCCTGCTCCACAGCCCACCGTCTCCAGAACAACTGTTTTCATGAACCACCCTCTCAGTTTTCTTCAAGGACATTGGCTGAATTGCCTCAGTGTCGAAATGCAGGCCTCAAGATTCCACCCTCCTTGGCTTCCTTGAATCTCGGAGAAGCAGCGCCCCTCCCCCTGCACCCACCCACCCACCCATTTATGCATTCAGCAAATATTATTTAGCCCTACTGCACAGACTGCTATGGGGGACATGGTAGGAATTTCAGGTTAAAGCAACATGGATCCTGTCAAGAACATGCCATCTTTTCCAAAAAGTAAGAGTAATATTAACAAAGTAGAGTGCATTAGCTCCAGAATGCAAATTCAACAAAACTATCATGAGCGTTCAAACATATAAAACCTGACTTCTCATTGATGGGATCACGAAAGGCTTCCTAGGAAAGGTGGCATCTGAGACAGGCCTTCGTGGGCAAATAGGCTCACACTCACATATGCGTACCGCACACACTGAGAGGTCCAGGGAAAGGCACAGGGAAGCAGCTCAGAGCAGAACACATCACACATGTGTGTCTGAAGCTCTTGAGTTGGAAAGAAGAGTAATCGAAAAGAAGACCTTGGCTAAACACCGGACAGTTCAAGCTTAGGTCCTGAACCTACTATATAAACTTGGACAAATCAGACAAAAATCTTCAAACTTTTTTTATTTACAAAATAAAAATACTAATTCTTACTTCTTAATGAGTAATCTCCTCTTGTACCTTGTCTCTCTGTCTCTATCTCTGTCTGTCTCTGTCTCCCTCTCTGTCTCTGTTTCTATCTCTGTCTGTCTGTCTGTCTGTCTCTCTCTCTCTCTCTCTCTTTCTCCCCCCCCCCCACAAAGCCAGAAACATTTTTCTAAAATGCATATGTGAGCATGAGTGTATGAGCAGGAGGACCTCATCTTTAAAGCGCCCACTCTCAGGACCAAGCAAGCGTCCAGGGCAGGGCTCACCCGGTCCCTGTGGTGTCCCTCCTTCCCTGCTGGCAACGCTGGCTCCCTCCACAGTCCAGCTCAGGAGCAGGCTGACACATCCACGCCACCCCTCAGCAACCTCAGGCACTCTCAGCCACAGAGCCGGCACCCACTGGCCCTTCTCCTGTATAGGTGACTGCTCCTGGGCCTTCCCAGTGCGGATGGAGGCCACTTTGCCAGGGAGCTTGCCACATCTTGCTCTCCTCCCCACAAAACTGTCCATCGAGGGGCAACTCAGGTAAAGCATAGGAAAGGGAAGAAGACAGCATGGAGGAAGGGAGGAAAGGAAGACTCTATGAACCATAAAGCACACGCAAATGTTGACTATAACAATGTTAATAAGAAATACATATAAGCATCAGCTCCTTCAAGGAACTGATAATCCAGAGACTGGATAACCTGCAAATCACCCTTCTCTGCCAATACATAGGGTTGCCCAGGAGCAGAAAGGCCTGAAACACTGACTCCACGGCAGGGTTGCCTCAGAGTGGACATGTGTCACACGGCATGTCCTTTTCTCACCCTGCGGCAGTCCTGCCTTTGGGCTCCATTAAGCAGCTTTCCTGACCCTCTGACTGCCGAATGGAAGGCCTTCATCAGACTTGCTCAGGACATCCACCTCCAAATCACCTAAAAATAATTTCACTGGGCCCAGGAGCACCTATACCAGTTCAGCCCACCACCTGGGCAGCAGCCCACGGTCTTCCCACGGTGTTAGTGGCCACACCCACTATCCCCTGAACCAATCACAGTCGGGTCCTCCCACCAGATGCAGACCTTGCTACTCCAGAGGAAACCCCTGAAGGTTTTCCTCCTACCATGCGTTCCTTCTGTGCGCTTGGAGGGAGGGCACAGGCAACAAAGCTGAAGGGCAGGAGGCTTGGGGGAGCTGGTCGAAAAAGCAGAAAAGTGGCAACGAGAAGCAGAGCCTGCTTTAGAAAGCATTCCAGGGATACCCAGCCCTTCCTCCTGTCTCTGTATCTAGGAAAGCTAGGCCCAACCCCTGAGCAAGCTGGCCTTCCCTGCCCATGCCCATGGGCAGCCTGAAAGTGTGGCCTGCAATGGTAAAAGTCTACTCTTGGTCTCTTTTGGAGCAGGGATTCTAATATTCTAATATAATATAATGGGTTGTGTCGCACCTGTGTGTTAAGTACTTTATCGGGCCTATAGAGAAAGAGAGGAAAAGAAAGGGCAGTGTGGGCAAGAAGCAGGAAGTTAGCCACACAGGACACGCTGCTAGGATAGCCTCAGAACAGAGCCGCCGGAGGAGACTCCTTCCACCAGCCTAGGACCCTCAGCAGGGGGAGAAAGAAGCAGACAGCCAGACAAAGACAGAGGCTGGAGCAGGGAGTACGGCACAGAGGGATAGCCCTACCATGCGGGTCACTGGCACTGGCGTCAGGCTTCAGGGTCCGCCAGGCAGGGTACTGTTCCTGTCCTTCTGTCAGCACCGATTAAACAGCCCAGCCAGCGTGGCTGGTCGTTGAAGTCTCCCTGATTGACACCCGGCCCCTCCTGTTTCCCCCCTACACACACACACTCACACACAGACACGAGCCAGAGAGACAATGAACTCTGCTTAGGACCCATGAATAGGCCTCTTGTTGCACGGAAAGAGGCCAAGGGCTGGGCTGGGCTGGGCAGCCCTGGCCCCTCCTGCTGTTAACTGGAAGCTCAGAACAGTGAAAAAGGTTATAGGGAGGAGGGGAGGCCAATTACTGTTGCTTGGCAACCAGGTCCCTTGTGCCCCAAAAGTGTGCCCCATGCACGCCAGCACAATTCCCCCTTCCTGCTGACAGGGCTTCCCTGGGGAGACAGATAGGAGCATTGGCCCAAATGTCTCTGAGCACTCTCGGTTACATCTTGCCTGTGTGGGTTGACTTTTCCAGAATTCTGGGCCCATCACCATGCTGGAGTTGATGGGTGGTGAGGAGGCATTGCTGTCACCTCCCTCTCCAAGGCTATGCCTGGCCCCTCCATGCCAGAAGGTGGCGCCTCTCCGCCAGGCCTGCCCTGGGAGCCAGGTGCTCCCGGAACTCATGGTGCTGTCTTGTTTCAAACTAAGTGACCCAGCTGAGCCCAGACTGAGCTGAGCACACCTGGGAGCCACATGTCTTCAGACAAGGAAGCAGGGTTATAGTTTGTGTCTAATTGTCCCCCTAGAGCCTCATGAAGTTGCTGGGGCGGCTTCTTGAGCTGGGGATTAATTCACAATCCAGTTCTGGGACTACGGGTATGAGTGGGATTATGTGTGTGAGCGCTACACCCACAGATAGCCTGAGTCAATACAAGGAAGGGAGAGAGACCTGCTCTCTGCCTCTGCTGCAGCTGCTCCTCCTCCCTCTTTGCCCTGGCTGTCTTGCTGTTTTCTGCCACCATGAGCTACTGCCCTCTGTCGTGTGCCACTCTGCCTTGGAGCCAGCGGAGTATGGACTGAAACCTCCACAAACTGTGAGCCAAATAAACCTTTTGTTCCCTAATTTTGGGTGTTGGGTATTTTGTCCCAGCAACAAGAGAAGAGTAACCAAGACAAGGGTAAACCCAGGTGAGGGAAGCGCAGGTGTGGCTTCCTGTCCTCCAGTTTCCCCTTCATGAATCCCTCAGATGGGTCAGGTAAGCACACAGGTTTCCAGTCAGGCACAGCAGCACTAATCCCAGCACTTATGAGGCTGGGGCAGAGGGATCCTGAGCTATGTACCAAGACCTGGGATCAAATTCCAACAGAAATAAAAGGAACGCAGACATCAGAGTCAGCCTTTCATGTAACTCATTTTCTCTCAACTAGCCTTACCTGTAAAGTTAGGGCATGGTACCTACAACAGGGTTGATGTTAGAATTAAATGTGATATTGAATATAAAGCCCTTAACCTGCTGCCTGGTATTGACTGTCACTGTTGACCTCGCCCACAGTCTTTATCCTCACATATAATACAAATGAAGTCCACATGCAATACAATGATGGAACAGAGGCCAGTTATGAATTAGAGAGGTAGGAGGGAAGAAGTGGCGGCTAGAGCTGCTAGCTCCCTGGCTAGGTTCTGAGGTCGCCTAGGGCAACATATTCAGCCTAGGATCTTGAAGGCCTACTGTGTGTCGTAGGCATGGAGGCTGAGTAAGTCTCGGGCTTGGAGCTTGCAAGCTGAAGGGAAGGGCAGGAACAGACATGAAGAACTGTCTCATGTGCAAAGTGAAACTACAGAGATCTGAACACAGAGTTATTGAAGAATAAGGGAATAGCTGGCTGCTTTGCCAGACACAGAGAAGGCCTCGCAATGGAGGACACATTTGATCTGAGTTTTGAGAAATGAGAAGGCAATCACAGAAAGGACATTTTAAATAATGTATTTCAGAGGATATCAGTGAAAGTGACAGAGGAAAAGACCTCTGAAAAGTCTCTCCTCCATAAAAGCAGTGAGAAAACTATCAAAGAAATTGTCAGGGGCCGGCCAGATAGCTCACCACTAAAGCACCTGCTTAGGCAGAACACAGCAGCCAGGGAGCATGCTGTGCTGGCCCTGCCCATGGGGCACACTGAGACTGGGCTTGGTGGCATGCACCTATAATCCCAGTGCTTGGGAGGCTGAAAATAGGAGGATCACTACAAGTCTAATCTACGTACTGAGACCCTGTAGTCCCGTAGACCCTGCACCAAATGAAAGAAAGAAAGAAAGAAAGAAAGAAAGAAAGAAAGAAAGAAAGAAAGAAAGAAAGAAAGATTGTCAGAACCAAATCTTTCAAGTTTCTGGAAATTAACCAAAGGTGCATAGCAGTCTAGAAAGCATCCATTCAAAAAAGGTAACATTCTGAGTGGAGTGGACAAGACGGAGGTCCTACCTACTTGGGGGCCTGAGCTAGGAGGTACACCAGTTCAAG